AGTTATAGATATATCAATTCATGTGAATATGACTGAAAAATTTCATTTTTTCTGAAAAGGTGGTGTCTGTTTACTTGTGACCACTCAGTGTATGTATATATAATTCAAAACTTATTCAATAAATAAAAATATATATAAACAAAATGTGCCATTTTCGAAGTAATATGTTTTTAATCAGCTTAATAATGCACAAATATAATACCTTTCTGATCCAAGGTGATCATTTCAGTTTGCATTCTTACGTTCGTGCTATTGGGTTACTAAAAATGTACTCAGTAACAATTCTTAACTAAATAAAGAAGTAATATATTTTGTCTGTCTGGGGAAATCTATTTTATCACGAAAGTATTAGGACACATAAAGCTCAAACATGGACAACAACGAAAGTGAAAAAGTGTCTGTTTAATTTATTTTTTATTATTCTTACGCGCAATAAATACATAAATAAGGAAAAGTAAAATTTTGTAGTTTTAGTTTCTAATATGTACTTAAAATATATTTCGTTGAGCTGCACGATTGTATTAAATGTCCATTTTTCAAATGTTACACGGACAGATGAGTCATAATATATTGGTCTCTTAATGGATTTTTCTTTGTTAATTATCAGAAGATTGCATCAGTCTAAAGAGAAATATTTCGTATGGAATAGATTAGACCATTAAAAACCTGTTAATAAGTTGTTGGTTTTTTTTTGGGGGGGGGGTGAGAGATAGACAGTGTAGGATGCCTCGTGTTGATTATGTATAATGTTCAAAACTTATATAAATTCTCATTGATGAGAAATTAAATATATAATCCCGAAATAAACGTAAAACGCACACATAAAATGAACATTTATCTTTTAAACAAAACTACCAAGTAATGCAGCTCTGTCACATCTGTGCATCGCTCCAGTTCAACTCGTTTTATCTTCAAAATCAACGAATCATGTTGTCTTTAGCAGAACTATGAAAAACATAAACTACTGGCAGGCAGGTCACTTCTATAATAAATTGGAACGTTTCCTCATGATTCTCTATAATTCATCTAATTTGAATAAGACTTAAATACTTTTCTAATAATTGAACTTTGTTTTTATTGTTTATACTTTCTTACTTTTCTATCCCCCATTAATAGGGCTAAGTCTGCTAAACTTCATAGAAAAGGATCTCAGCAATGCAACTTTAAAGGCACTAAAAGGAAGTATAGAGGTCATTATACCACAAGAGGGCGTCATTATTCTACAGGAAGGTAGTTCTCTTCAGGTAAATTAGTACTTGAGATTTTTTTGGTAAAGTAACATTGAAATTCACGAATAAGCTGAGATCATAAAATAAAACTTAATGAGCCATTTCATAGTATACATTTGTACACATTCTAATTAATATTGTGTTATCTTTATGTTATAATTGTCAGTATTTTAAAACCACCAGTACTGTGATAAATGACTTTTAATAGAAACAATATGTTGGGTATTAAAGAACAGAATTTTGTCTGGAATCTTATAAATATATTGAGAACTGTGGTGTCTGTCCGAGTGTTCGTCTGTCTCTCGTTTGAAAAGCTGCGCACGCAGGCAAAGCTCAACATTCACTTTTGAAATAACGGGAGAACAGGCATGAATAATGTTGATGCCAAATTTTATTTCACAAACAAGATATTCTACACTAAATTGTTAGGAATAAATCACATTATCATTCATATTTCACGTAACTTCAAAAATCAAAATGTAGATTTACCGTATGTTATTGTTGAGCAGCTCTTAGCATGACTGAAATGCTCAACAATTATTTTTCGTGGTTGGCGGTATAAGTAGCTCAGAGCTTTGGCTCTGAGTGAAACCAAGAGTGCAATACAATTAACATTTTTTGAGTCCATGAAATAATTTAAATTGACAGATTAATTTAAACTTTTCCTGTCACTGGGGGCGGGTACTTTTATTTGTTACAGTATAAACCAATGAGGTGAAGCATCAAGAAATTTCCAAATTTTATTTCTGCACTCCCTGAATCAAGACTGTTTTATACAATGAAAAATAATCTAAAATTTGCAGTTCTCCAATATTCTTTATATATTAAAATGTTTAGAATTTGGATTTGAACGATATTATGTTTTAGTTTTAAATTAGATTTTTAAACTAAATATGTTTTTTTTTATCTATTAGGACAGTGGTGCAGTTACAAAAATACCATTTCAGTTAAGCAGTTACCAGAAATAACCAATTAACTAATTTTCATGATTTAGATACCGACAGGTGAATATCACCAGGTGTCACCACTGAAACACAGCCCTGCATGCTATATGTATACGTTTGTTAATCAGACAGAACAAAAACTGGAAAGTGCTTGGATAGAAAATAAAGAAAACAGAACACAGGAATATTCTAGTAAGTATTAAAATTCCTGTGAATAATATTAGTGCGGGTAAAGAAAATTAGTTAACTTAAGCAACTGACTGAGTCAGGAATGTATTTTTTTACAATACTGATGGAAATCTAGGGAAAATTTATTATTCAAAAAGATAGATAATACAATTATATAGGCATAATTAAATTTTTCTATACCTTTATGCAACTAGGAAGAACTTCCCAGAGTGCATAATCGAGAGCATGATGTTTATTCATAAAAGAAGTCGTTTTGATATATATGTAGCTGCCAGTTTTTATGTTTAAAAATCATATTGTTTCATCTGATCACGCACCTGTCCAATTCCTCTGATGCAGTTTCCAATGGACTCTCGGGTTTCGATACCCGTGGTGGGCAGAGCACAGAGAGCCCATTGTGTAGCTTTGTACTTTATTCCAAACAAACAAACAAATCCAATGGACTCAAACACGGTCTTGGAACCCAGCGTCAGAGGAGAGTTTCTTGAAAACGTTTCAAGATGTGTGGTCTCATGCTAACTTAGTTTATAAATATAAACTACGGCAGTAGTACATAATTACAACCACCAGAAGCGTGTTTAAATATAAACTACAGCAGTAGTATAGAATTACAACCATCAGAAGCTTGCTTAAATATAACCTACAGCAGTAGTACATAATTACAACCACCAGAAGCTTGTTTAAATATAAACTACAGCAGTATTACATAATTACGACCATCAGAAGCTTGTTTGAATATAAACTACGGCAGTAGTACATAATTACAACCATCAGAAGCTTGTTTGAATATAAACTACGGCAGTAGTACATAATTACAACCATCAGAAGCTTGTTTGAATATAAACTACGGCAGTAGTGCATAATTACAACCATCAGAAGCTTGTTTGAATATAAACTACGGCAGTAGTACATAATTACAACCATCAGAAGCTTGTTTGAATATAAACTACGGCAGTAGTACATAATTACGACCATCAGAAGTTTGTTTGAATATAAACTACGGCAGTAGTACATAATTACAACCACCAGAAGCTTGTTTGAATATAAACTACGGCAGTAGTACATAATTACAACCATCAGAAGCTTGTTTAAATATAAACTACGGCAGTAGTACATAATTACAACTATCAGAAGCTTGTTTGAATATAAACTACGGCAGTAGCACATAACTACAACCACCAGAAGTTTGTTTGAATATAAACTACGGCAGTAGTACATAATTACGACCATCAGAAGTTTGTTTGAATATAAACTACGGCAGTAGTGCATAATTACAAACATCAGAAGCTTGTTTGAATATAAACGACGGCAGTAGTACATAATTACGACCATCAGAAGTTTGTTTGAATATAAACTACGGCAGTAGTACATAACTACAACCACCAGAAGTTTGTTTAAATATAAACTACGGCAGTAGTACATAATTACGACCATCAGAGTGGACAGCACAAGTCGTAGAACATAAAATGGGAGGTTAACCTCAATACTTCATGCTACATTTACTTTATTATTATTATTAAGATGACTGAAATAAACACAGGGTAAATCTTTAATACTTATATTTCTTATCACAGAGATTCCCAGAAGCAGAAAAGATATTTATTTTCAGCTAAAAGAACAAGAAGAATTCAAGAATAAAGTAACAGTGCTTCAAAAATATCAAGAAGTTTTTTTTCGCAAAATGAATCTCTGGTATAAAAGGTATGTACCATTGAGCTGTTTATATATTTTTTGGCTCAAATTAATTATTACAAAAGGTAATTTCATTGTAGAAAAATATATGTTCAACTCAAAAAATAATGAAACTGGTTACTATCAATGGAGTTTAACTTAAGAAGCAAAAAGAGACTGGCTATATGTTATTCAGGAATATGCACTAAGTGGCAGGAAGTAAACGCGAAACATTATATGATAAATTTCCTCTTTACTTTCAAAACTAGCTAAGATGATGCAGACAGACGGGTATTGCTTAAGCTGGTTAAATGGATCCGTTTAGTTCCCAAGATAATGATAAAAAAAACAGATTTTATGTTATGAAAAACCTATAAAATCTACCCCTGTAAAATGCTTTGGTATTTTACTTTTCTCTGTAAAACAGGTTTTGCCTTGTGCAAAAGATTTTCACATTTCCAATCCAATGACATCTACCAACCTTTTTCTCAAATAGGTAAATTACTTTTAATTGTAACTGTGTAAAGAAAAATATTATTAATGACTTCAGCAGTTTAATATGAGTGACATGTTACTACAATTATTTAATATGTGGTTTTTATTATTGTATTTCAGTTTAACTATGATTGTGAAGGCCCTACAGAGCATCATCAGTGGTATTCCTCTGATCGTTCCTTCGTCTAAACAAACATCTACATTTTCTTAAACTTGTTTCTGGTAATATAAATGTTGTACAAAAATATCATACGTGGTGAAAGAATAATTCTAAGAACGACCGCATCTTACTATATAGGATTATGAAATGTTCTAGTCATGTTCCATATATATATTTCTGATCAGTGTATAAACTTCTTACTGGTGCAACCCGCAAATAAATGTACTCATGCTTTTGTTGTAACTATCTTAATAATTGTTGTAACGTTGTTGGTATATACCTAAATGAGCTCTGTTTGATCTAGTTAAAAGCAAACAAAATAATTTGTTGAATGTACAACACATAGCTTTTGGAATACATTGTTTAATACTAAAGCGACTTGTAACTGTTACTCACATATACTTTACAGGAAAGGAATATACAAAAACACTACTTGTAGTCTCAAACAGTAGTTTTTCCAATAAGTTTAAAAATCATGTTCTTTATTATTATCAGATACGCGTAAAGAACACGATAACTTAGTTTAAAAACGTAAACACTGATTTGAATTTCTAAGAAGTAGTTATTAACTAACATTTCTTATTTTGATTGACGTCATTCGTGTTGGATCCTGTTGAAAAATTAAAACGTTAGTGTTTAATTTTTTTAGTCTAATGTGTTTTGACTTTTTAGCATTTTGTTTTATTTATGTTGATAAATTTCATAAGTTATTAATTCTGAGATAATTCGTTGTCTGGATACCAAAATGAAATTTAAATTTTGGTTCAATACATCGTAAACTGAGTAATTATGACAATACTACAATGCACTTGACTGGGGCTTGAAATAGCTTTTAATACAATACCAAACACATCTCACATACTTGTTTGAGGGAAGGTTTTAACAGAGAAGCCGATACGACGACTTTTCGATTTTAACCTGAAGAAAATTTGCGCAAGCAGCTCAAAATGTCGTCCAAAACTTCCAAGACAGATGTAATCCATTAACAATGCCTTTCAAGTAAAACCTCACACAGAAAGTTCTATGATAACAGCAGACATCGCTAACATGTGTCGAGGAAGTAGTTTAAAGTATTTGTCAGTATAAGGGGTGTTACTACAACGTATTTTACAGACTAATGTAGACAAGAAAACCAGGAAGTACACACACACACAATTCTCTGTAAGCTATTTTTATCTAAAAATTAATGTTCTTCTTGGAAATACTTAGCTTATTATAAGCCAGAAAATTCTTTAATTTCGAGCTTCACTAATTCTTTGCTCTCCCAACAAAACAGGTGAAAATAACATAAATACAATGACAAAGAGTTGTTTAAAAACAGATTGGTGTATATGAGTTTGGAATTAAAAGGTAAGTGGGTTGGTGTAACAAGAGCGTAATACTATTCAAATAATGTAGAAAATTACTCATATGATGTCAGTTAGTGAATATGTGGCCGTTCAGCTGTGACCAAATTTTTATCATTCCTCATTTGAAGGACCTATACAGTTAGATGAACAAAATGCCACTGGAAACAACGAAACTATTTACAAGGACAAACAACGGAAGTACTTACAAGGACAAACAATGGAACTATTTACAAGGACAAACAACGGAAGTACTTACAAGGACAAACAATGGAACTATTTACAAGGACAAACAACGGAAGTACTTACAAGGACAAACAATGGAACTATTTCCAAGGACAAACAACGGAAGTACTTACAAGGACAAACAATGGAACTACTTTCAAAGACAAACAATGGAACTATTTACAAAAACAAACAATGGAACTATTTACAAGGACAAACAATGGAACTATTTACAAGAACAAACAATGGAACTATTTACAAGGACAAACAATGGAACTATTTACAAGGACAAACAATGGAACTATTTACAAGGATAAACAATGGAACTATTTACAAGGACAAACAATGGAACTATTTACAAGAACAAACAATGGAACTATTTACAAGGACAAACAATGGAACTATTTACAAGGACAAACAATGGAACTATTTACAAGGATAAACAATGGAACTATTTACAAAGATAAACAATGGAACTATTTACAAGGACGCTTGACCATTTTTACTAAATCTCCTTGCTTTGTTCAGAGTTTTTTCAAATTTTTCTTTTCAACTTTTTTCAATTATTTTTCAAAGTTTTGTCACAAAATTATTTAAAAATTTTGATCATAAGTGAAATTTTAACAAAACAGATAATTGCTAAGTTTGTTTTTAGTTATGAGCAAAACTTTCAAACGATTCAATACCGAATTTAGTTTTTAACTAAAAACTACAAGCTAAAGACATTTGTATTGTGTAAAATAATAAAATATAGACTGAAACGCATGAAATTTGAGTTTTCTGAATTAAATATATTGTCAGAGATTTGGTAGTTAATTTCATGAACCTGCATCGTTTTTCGTTAAACATATAAGTGAAGTAACTGAGAGCGGGTGTAAACACGTTTTGTCAATTGATCTAAATTTGGCAGCTGGTGTTGCAGAACCTGCCTATTTTGTTGTTGAGTGAAATGAAATGAGGAAGCTTCAGTAGAGAAAATCAAACTTAAAAAGTTAGATGATTATCGAATATTTTGAAATATATTTAGTAATGGACTGTAAAACATAGTATTTTATAATGCCACTGATCGACATGAAGCAGATTCAACAATGTAATGCAGTGTAAATGTAACAGTTTTGTAATGTTATCGAATGAAGAGCTGTAGTTTAGTAATGAAGTGTACTATACATTATTAGTGAAGGGATTGGAACAGATTAAGTAGTTTGATGTAAAAACGTAAAAACTTCACATTATTATTAAATAAAATGAATATATTTATTAATGAGTATAAAAGCTCAGACCTTTTATATACATATATAGCTTTTATTCTAGCTAAAAACTTTTATTTTTTCAATGCTATTATTAGCCACGTAGTGTGTATTACAGACTAATATTTCC